GTCCCGGGTACTTTTTCTTCCCGGCCGGACTGGGGGGGATAACCGGCCGTTTCCGGGAAAACTCGGAGGCCCTAGTTTTCGGCTGATAGATACCGATGACGAATCATGGCCAGCGGCGGTAGTGAATCGCGACACCCCGCGGAGGGTGGGCGTCCCAGTCTGCAGTTTGTTCCGTTCAGTAGCGCGCTGGACGCAGGTTTCTGGCATGAGCTCACTCAGAAAAAACTCAATGAATACAAACTGGACGAGTCTCCGAAGCCGATCAGAGGCTATTACTATAATGGCAAGTACACCGTAAACACTTTTCCTTCTTGGAGGGGGATTGTCGTTCTCGAAACGCGTCCTGCTGTGTGGACTGGGACAATAAGAGTTCAGGTTAGGTTCAGCCTAACGCTGGCACGTCGTTCCAGATCCCTGTAAACTCAGAGGGACTTGATGTCTGAGTAAACAAGCCTGGCTGATTTTCTTAGCTCAGGCTAACCTTTCCCCCTGCTGTTGTGGAAGCTTCATTAGTGTCCACGATATATGGAATACTTTCCCTGGATATCCGTGCCTTCCATGTGCAGCAGCTTCTGCACTTGCTTAAAGATCAGTTCATTAGACATTCATCTGAATAGATACTATTGGTCAGGGGTGAGAACAGATGTAGCTAGAACCTTAACCTGTGCCCAGGAACCCCAACCACCCATGACAATCTGAAGGGCCATCCTTTCATAAAAGGCCAGAGATTAAAGAACATAGAGAGCTAGTAGGTAGGTACTTGTTTCAAAACTCCAAGTAATTTACTTAAATACATAAAGATTATAGTCCAGTTAGTGGGTAACTCTATGAACACCTCCTTCCAAAATTAGTTAAGTGTAGGTTAAGTACTGTAACATGAATATTATGAAATAGGTCATATGACTACTCTGTGTCATAATCAGTTCTCTCCTAGCTGAAGAGCTAGATTGTTCAAGAAGCGGGTTAATGTTGAATTTAAATTTTCTTTCCGAACTTTGCTGTTTGCTGTTGCCCTCCTCCAAAATATGTAGAAGGATGGCTGACAACTAGAACACTATGCCTCCCTCCAAAAAAAGAGGGGTTAAGAGAAAAGGCTTCCCAACTCATCTGTTGGCCTCTGTTGTGTGGGTGTGTTTTGGTGTGTATGTGGGGGGAGTTAATGGAGGGAAAGTCCTTTGTGCAACATGGAATAAGACAGACATTCTTTTTATCACGTTGTCCTTTGTACAATGCTTCCTGTAATAAAATGAAGAAACAGTTATGAAATTACCAGATGTGGAAAGGACATCTGGACTATTCAGTCATTAACCAGGAATATGAGAGAATATGATGAATTAGATTTATTATATTATAGTATTAGATTTTTTAATGATTTTGCTTTCTTCACAGGAAAGTATGCAGAGATGTCCTGGGTTGTATAATTGTCACTATTTTAATAAACTGTTTGGTTTTTCTCTCCCTCTACTAGGAGATCCTGCTGGAATGCCAGCACGTTTAACCCTTGAATTTAGTGCTTTTGATATGTAAGTAACAAATCCTTTATCCTGTGTCTTGAAAGAGTTTTTAGGAAACAACAACTGATTCTTAGTATTGTAATCATTAGGCTACAAACCGAGATTTGTATGTCAGGAACATGACTATGTGAGAGCAGTGCATCAGGATCCCAGTGCAAACGCTATTTTCTGATTTATGCTAGGGAGGGGATATAGGAATGAACACACACACACACACACACGAGTGAGAGAGTGAGCTTGGTTTACACAAACCAAGAATCACCAGCTGTTCTCACTTTTCTGGACAAATATGATTTCTTCTTGGCGTAATTGCTGTGGTTGTTTCTGCCCTCTGAGTTGATAGTCAGATAGAAGTACTAGCACTGGTACATATATATCAGTGTTGGCTTGTGTTTGGAGTGATCCCAGGTAATGAGATAGAGAGCATGCAGTTTCTCTAAGGGGAGCTTTCAGCTTCATTATACAGCAGCTCATGAATAGCTTGTCACAATCTGTTTTGGGTCTTGAGGTGGGGGAAGGTCTCTATGCATTTTTCAGAAGTGTTTTAACCACTTGGGGAATAAATCAGTACTATGCAATTCTTCTGAAGGCCAGTTTGATACCATTTAGGAACCTGGAGACCTCAAGAACTAGGAAAAGATAGAGTATTGAAGAAGTCATCCTCAAAAGAAGCCTATAGGTAGGGAGTTAAAACGTCTTGTGGCTTAAAAAAAGGGACAGAGCCAGAAGGAAAAATGTAAACCACGTGAGAGGCTGGCTTAGGCTAAGACTGACACAATCAGCAATTTTCTTGGGAGTAGCGTGGGATATTGGCCATTGCCTTCTTCCAGAAGGCCTTTCAACTTCCCACTCTCATCTAAAGCCTTGGGATTCCATGGTCATCTCAACCCAGCTAGGCCCAACCCTGCTTAGCTTTTGAGTCCAGATGCTGCCATTTGCTGAAGAAAGGAGAACTTAAATGAATAATGGAAATGCAGGAGAAATAGAAAGCTTAAGTGGAGGGAGAGATAAGGATTTGGCAAGCAGAATAAAGGAGTAAATATGGAGTGTGAAGAACAGTAATATTTCTGTTACAAGATGTTGTGACTTTTAGCATAACATGGCCGTTCAATTGTTAGGCTAATAGGTTTGTCTGAACATGTGCTTTCTTCATATGGCAAAATGTGGAGTTTTAGAGGCTTAAACCCCCTTGCACAGAAAGAACGTATGCTGTTTATTTGTGAAGGAGTCATGGGCCTGTTTTCCTGTTCTGTGTGAAGTGGTGGTTCTATGAAACAGAAGATTAATGGTTAAGGCTATGCATGTTGCTCTGTTCAGGGTCCCAGTTTGTTTCCTTTTTCTTCACTTTCCATCGATCCAATGTCTGCTACTTTTCCTTTTGTGGCCAAGATCCATGCAAAGGCATAACAGAGCTGTTGAAACTGATGTTGAGATTACATTTTACACAGTGCGTGCAGGCAGACTTGCATAACTGACTGTAATATCCATTTTTTCATTTCATTCTTATTTTTAAATTTTTGGTAAAGTATGTGCCAACTACCAATGCTTCTGGTTTGTTAAAAATGTATATTGCATTTACTTTAGTTTTAAGTCTGTTTTTGTTCCCCCTCAGGAATGGCCCAACACCAGCACATTGTTGCCCTGCTATTGGAATGTTGTATAACACCAATACATTGGAATCCTTCAAATCCTGTGATAAAAAGCTTCTCCTTGAACAAGCAGCAACTGAGGTAAGATAAAATGTGAATGAGTTCCCAAAACCTGGGGCACAGATGAAAAACAGCCTTTAAATGTAATTTGAGATTGTTGCGTGGGGCAAACAGTGCGAATAACCTGTAGCTGTTTCATGAACAAAACAATTCTATGCAGGCTTACTTGAAGTAAGTCCCACTAAATTGAATAAAATGTAGTCCCAAATGCATATGCATTGTATTTCAGACCTTGGTCTCACTTATTTCAAGAAAGGAGTACTCCTATATTTCAGCACAAAATTGTCTAAAAATATGTTATTTGGAATGGCCTATCACTGTAGATCAAACAATGAATGTGTATTCCATGGTTTATTGAACTTTTTCAGGCTGTAGAATCTGTTAAAAAATAAACTCCTGGAATCTCTGATCAGGAGGCAATGCTCTAATGATGAAAAATGGTTGTGTTTGGATGAACTTTTTTCCCCACTTAATTCGTCATGGAACGTTAGAATTCTATGGAGCACTGTTTGAAAAACCCAGAGACTGAACAGTTGTAGTTTTGTAAATAAATAAATAAATAAATAAATAGTGAGCCCATTTGGTGTAGTTGGTTAAGGCATCAGGCTAGAGACTGGGGGACTCTGAGTTCTAGTT